AAAAAAAAAAAAAAAAAATACATGCATTGGCTCAGCACCTGTAGCATAGTGGTTATGGCAACGGCCACATACACCGAGGCTGGCGGGTTCCAGCCCGGCCCCAGGCCTGCTAAACAACAAATAACAACTGGAACAAAAAATAGCTGGGCGTTGTGGTGGGGGGCCTATAGTCCCAGGTACTTGGGAGGCTGAGGCGAGAGAATCTCTTAAGCCCAAGAGTTTGAGGTTGCTGTGAGTTGTGACGCCACAGCACTCTTACAGAGAGGACATAGTGTGACTCTGTCTCAATAAATAAATAAATAAATAAATAAAACAAAATACGTGCATTAAAAAATTTAAGTCTCAATTGGTTGTAGGAAAATATGAAGTAAATAATCCTACAGGCTGTATGAGAATCTGGTTAAAGCCTGAATGAGATAAGAAAAGGACTGAAGTTTGGCAAATGTATGTGCCATCTCAGGGCAAAGCAGTTGGCTCAGTAAATATCTGTGGATTCAGCTTCTTTGTGCAGCTCAACTCTTTCTTCCCCTTTCTCTCCTATCACCTCCTTTTTCCCATCCCATTATTACTTGCTGACTTTGAGGCCACTCACCAGAAGCCCACCGCGTTCTTCCAATGGGAGCCTTGACGGTCTAACAGAGGGGTCTGGGGCTCCGGGGCGGTCTCCTCCCCTGGGAGGGTGAGAAGAGAGCGTGATCCCCACCCCACTCTCAGGGGTACAACCGCTCCATGGGTGTCCGCCGAGGGTTGAGCCAGCTTTAACTCCCCTCAGGTGGGCTGCGAGCCAGAGGAGGTCACTGCCGTGAAGATGGGCCGCAGTACTCACCCTCGGAATCCAAAAGGCGCTTCCGCGAGCCGGCACGTCCTTCCATGGCATCCAGTTCAGGTTCCCCTAGGGTCCAAAGTTACAGAGTGTTCAAAGTTGGCTTCAACGGGACTGATGAGGGTCTGTGACACGTGAGAAGGATCAACGCCCCATTGCCGGTCCCAGCTCCGGCTTTTCTGCCGCACTCGCGCCCGCCGATCCTTTAGGCGAGCCCCAAGTTCCCTCTCGAGCCATCGCACCCCCTCCCAAGCACCACCCGTCGGACTCTGGCCCCACCTAGTCTATAGCAGGGAGCACTGGGACCTGTACCTTTAAGAACTGCAGGTCATTCGATACCCAGGACAGGCGAGGGGTCGAATCACGTGATGGCATCCGCGCGTTCCCCATCACGTGCTCGTAGAGCCTCTGTACGTCCTGGTCCTCTCTTTGTCTTCTCCTTAGGCCGTCTCAGCTTCTGGGCGTGAGAAAGGGAGATGCCCGGAGAGCCTTGGAATCCTCTGTTTTAAACGGGAGCGGGTGGGATTAGCAAGTAGCGCCGTGACGTTAGAGCAGGCTGTGACGGTATTCTGCCAGCACTAGTCATGGCTGTAAGCGGCTTCAAATATATTCATTCGGCACTCCATGTGCCAGAAACAAATATGGCTACCCGTCTAATTCCGCCGTCTTCTCCGCACCCCAGCCCAGGACGGTCATTCTTAACTCCAACCTGTTTCCCTTACAAATTATTTTAGAAATTTAAAATAAAGATAACACCCACCTGAAGGGGGTTCATGAATTATCTGTTGGCGATATCCAAAACGTTAGAAGATCCCCTTTCCCAAATTATCCTAGAACCTAAAAATATCACGGAAGTAGTCCAAATCCTGGTTTTACATATGAGAAAACAGAGGTACTAACAACAACAAGAAAGGAAAGTTATTGACATCATACAACGTTAGACGTAAAGATGACCTTAGAGACCCCCTTGGCAATAAGAATGAAGAGGACCAGAGGCAGGGAACCACTGCAAGATTTCCTGCCCCCCATCAAGAGTGCTTAGATCAAATGATTTTAAGGGCTAAGATTCTCATTCTATGATCTCATTCAATTGCCCAAATTAGAAATTAACCTGGGTCTGGGATGAGAGGGGAGGGGGAAGAGATGTAGATCAAGGTCGCTTCACATAGCCCCAAATAAGGAGTCATACATACCCTTACTTTGGTAAAACAGCATCTTGAATTCTCTTCATTGCGTCCTTCCCCAGCTAACGTCTGCTGTGGGCTTCCAACAGTCTGTGCCCACCTCACCAGCTCTTTCTCACCACCAGGCCTTCAGACTGCTGTTTAAAATATACCCCCTCTATGTCACTCAACCAATGAAAAAATGGGTCCTACTAACCATGCAGGGCTCTAGAAATTCAACAGTGATTCATACATAGCCTTTGCCCTCAACGAACTCAAGGAAGGTAGGAGGTAGATGCCAATAGCCACAATACAAAGTTTAGCCAAGTTCTCTTTTGCAAGATTAACCAAAGATGAGAGGATGGGCATTGGAACCACCAATCAGGCCCCTTTGTCCCCTTGGGGAACCATTAATGACGCTAAAATGAGAAGAATGAGCTCCTACTAACCCCCTGCTCACTCACTGTTTGTCCCCAGCAAAATAGGAACCACAAACCCCAGCTTCCTCTCACAAGAGTGGCTGTGGCTTGGGGGAGACGGAAATGGCTGAGGTGTGAATATAAGACCTGAGTCACTTGAGCTGCAGTTGCCACATGGCCCCTCCCCCATTTCCAATTCTGAGGCCTCCTGCTCCCACTTATTCCGACTTTCTGGCTTCTTCTCTGCCCTTAAATTCCAAATATGGCCCTGAGTCCCCTGTGTGATGCACACCTACTGCCCAGACTGCAGTGGAGGCTGCAGTGGGCATTGGGGCAGTGGGCAGGGCCTGGGTGGGGATCTGTGAGGGAAACAGGGGAAGAGGAAGTGTCTTGGGTCTGGGGAAGACTGGTTTGTCTTGGTAGGTGGGGACAGTCATTGTCAGCTTTCTGGACACACAGAGACAGACAGGATGGATTTTCTCCGGCTATACCTTCCTGGGCTACATCAGGCCTTGAGGGGGGCAATGGTGAGAGGGGCTTTCACCCTGCTCCCTGGGGCCTTGCTGCAGGGACCCTCCCCTGGACCTCACCTTCCCTCCTCTCTTTGAACCTCTCTCTTTTTTTGGTATCAGACAGGTTCCTAACCCAATCTGTTCTAGATTTCAATCCTTCCACCTCCATGAACACTTCTACATGCCCCCAATCTAGGCCCTCTCTTACTTTCTCTGCAGATCCTGCTCTCCTTCTCCCAGATCCCAGAACCCCTCTTCCTTGTCCTGGCTCCTCAGGCCCAGGGTCCCTGGGGCAAGGGCTAGGCCTTCTCTTAATATCTCCCCACCCTTTCTTCTAGGATTCCTTCAGCACCTTTGTCTCCTACATCATAGGAGATGCAGTCCCCACTGTAGAGAGAGAGGCACATGCAGCTGAGGAACCAAGGGTGGGGGCCCCAGGAAGGCCAGGGAAGATTGTGGAGGAGGAAGCCCAGGAGGCCCTGGAAAGCCTTAGAAGTGGCCAAAGTGAGGAGGATAGAAGGCTGGGAGGCCCTGGAGAGGGCAGAAGATGCCAAGGGGGAGGCTTAGCTGCAGAACAGACCTGGGGCTGGGAAGACGTTAGCTTCCATGGGTCCCGAGCAAATAGGCAAGACGCTGGGGCCTGGGAGTCAGCCAAGGTTGCCCGGTGTCAGGAGCCAGGTACCCCCTTGGAGTCCAGAAAGAAGTCTGAGGCAGGATCTGGGACTCGACAAGACAGAAACAGCCAAACCCAGGAGAGACAGGAGTCCGATGAGCAGGAAGTGAACAGAGGGGAATCGCTGAGAACCTGGGAACAGGAGAAGGAGGAGGAGGGGGAGGAGGAAGAGGTCAGGACAAGAGAGCCAGGGATGGCCAGAAGGGCGGAGTCAGAGTGGACCTGGAACAGGGAGCTTGGGGGGAAGGCTGCTGATGACCGGCAAAAGGTGGCAGGGGACAGCAGGGAGACAGGGCAGGTGGTCAGGGAGGCAACTGCAGAGGAAAGTGAGAGGCGTGGGGCTGGAGAGATTGGAAGGGAAGGAGAGGTAGCAGTAGAGGTGAGGGCTGGCCAAAGAACAAGAGCACAGGAGACACAGATTCCAGGGGAAGAGTCTGAGGAGACCTGGATGACCTCCTGCAGGGAGGAGGTTGACCTGCCAGGAGTCAGGGAGACACACTATGGGCCAGTCCCAGGAGAAAGGATCCCAGAGGCTACTGGGAGAGTCTGGGTCCTAGAGGAGACCTCTAAGGGTAACCAGGAGGAGGTGGGTGAGAAGAGAGAGGCTGAGGTGAACCTTTCCCCCAAATACACAGAGGTCCTGGGCCCTGAGGCAGTGGAAAAGGCACCTGAGGGTCAGACTGCAGAGAGGGAGGCCTCAGGGGGCCAGGTGTTGGAGAAGGAGGCAAGGGAGGGCTTAGAGGGCTGGACAGTTCAGTATGGGAAAGGAACTGAAGGGAGGCCAGACTTGGAGGTTAGGGCTGAACGGGCCAGTCTGGAGGAGGTGGGGCAGACAGAGGAGGCCCTGGAGGAGAAAGGGAGGTGCTGGGTCACCGAGGCTGAGCTGTCCCCAGACAAAAAGGCCGAAGATGATGTTGATTTGGAGGAAACCATAGAGGCCAGCCCTGAGGAGGAGTTTATGGGGCAGAGGAGTGAGGTGGCCCAGATAAGTCCAGAGGCATCCAGGGTTGAGTGGGGTGACCTCAAACATAAGGTCACTGAAGTTCAGGAACCTGAGCGGATGGGAGGCATTGAGACCCCAACAAAGCAACCTGAGGAAAGACAGAACAATAAGGAGGAGCTCTGGAGAGCTCCAGCCTTGAGCAAAGAGGAGACAGAAAGGAGCCTGGAGGACTATTCTAGGCACCTGGGGTATGCAGAGCCTGAGGTCTTGCAGGGTCTCCCAGAAGCTTGGGAAAATCAGAGAAGGGATATGGAGAGAGGCCATACCCAGGAGGAAAAAGCAGATGGTGAAGAGGAGGAGGGAGAGGCTGAAGTCGGGGAAAGAAAGGCTGAAGATGGGGTGGGGGAGGCTGAAGATGGGGTGGAGGAGGCTAAAGAGGAGGAGAGGAAAGCTGAAGATGGGGTGGGGGAGGCTGAAGAGGAGGAGAGGGAGGCTGAAGATAGGGTGGAGGAGGCTGAAGAGGAGGAGGGGAAGGCTGAAGATGGGGTGGGGGAGGCTGAAGAGGAGGAGAGGGAGGCTGA